AATAACAAAGATAGGAATCTGCAACAAAGTTTGTTTAAATCCCTGCAATGTACATAGATCACTGAGAGGGGAATGTTTTTTTTTCTCAGCAAAGTAGAGTTACTCTTAAGTCCTCATACACACGGGATGTTTTTGGCTTTTTTCTACAGCCAGTAAACCCCCCAGCATGTTATCCTATTTGTCCATGCACACCAGGGGCGGACTGACCATTTGGAAACTCAGGCACTGCCCGAGGACCCGGGGTCAGTAGGGGCCCCATGAGATGCCCCTGGTACCTTATTCATGGGCTTTTTTGAGTTTGGGCAAGGACACAGGGGCCCCATGATCCCTTATTGCCTGGGGGCTCCATGAGTTGTCAGTCCGCCCCTGATCAGTAATCAGTGTAATCAGTGTTTTTTGGCTGGAAAACCCCCCAGAACTAGTGGGTTTCTAGCGGAGTCTTTTAGGTTCGTTTTATGCTCTAACGCTAAGAAAAAGCAGTAAAACGTGGTAAACCGCGGCAAACTGGCGTTTTTTAACCTTTTTTGAGCAAAAAAAAAAGTTTTGTCCAAAAAAAAATAGAAAACGCAAATGTGAAAAAATGTGGCAAACCACTAATGCAAAAATGCCGAAAAATGCACGTATTTAACGTGACTTTAACCGCTAACATTGCCAGTGTTCTTAAAAACGCAGTGTGCATGGGGCCTTAAGCATATATCTGGTGAAGGGCCACATTTGTCCACACAAGGGCGCACAAATGCGCCCATGCAGGAAGTCCCATTTGTTTCTATTGGGACACAGTGGTTGCATGGACACAGCTGCTGCTTGTAATTTGACATCTGTGTGGGTGTGTGTCCCTGAACAAGTAGCGGCTGTATCCATACACCCTTTGGCGCCCAAACACGGCCCTTTTGCATAAGTGTAAGCTTAACGTGGTAGTAAAAAACAAGGAAATTAAAAATCTCCTGCGAGGTAATGCCATAGTGTGCTAGTGCGCATCACATACTAGCACATTATGAAGGACTTACCTTAAAACGAAGCCCTCCAGGCTTCCATCTTCACCCAGTCTTCCCTCTGGGTTTGCGAATTCTGGCTGTCTGACTGGCTGAGCAGTGAAGACCTCACTCCCACGCATGCTTGTGGGAGTCCCGGGCCACAGCACAGTGCTCTGAAGGACTGGCACGGTCATACCGTTTCTTCAGAGCACATGTACCAGCTCTCAAAAAGTGCAAATATCTGCTAAACGGAGCACGTTTAGGAAATATTTATTTTACCTACAGGTGAGCTTTATTAGAAGTATAAAAAAAGAGTTTACTACCACTTTAAGTACGAACAAGTATGAACAAGATCTTAATAGACCTTTCCAGGCAAACTTGAACCATTTACATTTAAAGGGAACCTGTCATGGTTTAAATATAGGAGCTGCCATTGCAAACTTGTTTATAGTGGTGTATGTTCCAGAACTGTCATTCTGAGCCCGGCTTTACTGCTTAGGGAATTTATTTATTAAGCAGCAGTATGGCCCCACTGTACCCATATTGCTGCTTTAAGAAAAAAAAAAAAAAGCACTGTACATTTTATAAAGCACAACAGAGCACAACATCAGAATGAATGAATTAAAAAAAAAAAAAAAAAAGCCAGCAGAGGAACCTGGTTGCCTGACCTGTCAATGTCATGTGATAGGCATTTCCTTCAATCACAGAGTTCTGTTTGCTGTGTTAGTAGCACATACCATAGACTCCACACTGTGGCTGGTGTAGTGCTTCCTTAAACTGGGGGTCAGTGGAAAGAATACCCACCTTTCACTAACAATTATGCCAACGGAGGGGGGTATTTACTAAAACTGGAGAGTGCAAAATCTGGTCCAGCTGTGCATTGTACCCAATCAGGTTTCAGTTTCAAAGCTTAACTGAACAAGCAGAGGTTAGAGGCTGATTGGCTACCATGCACAGCTGCAGCAGATTCTGAGTGCATCAGTTTTAGTAAATCTCCCTCATAATATTTGTGTAAGCCGCTTAATAGAAATGCTTCATTACACTGGTGGTCAGTAGAAAAATGTCCCTAACACTGGTGGTCTATAGAAAAGTGCTCCCTTACTTTGGTGATCAATGAAAAGTGTCCAGTTAGACTGGTAGTTGGTGCAGATCTCCTTTAAACTGGTGGTCTGTATAAAATTGCTTCCTTTTAGCGGTCAGTGAAAGAATGTCCCTTACACCGGTGGTCTATCAAAAAGTGCTCCTTTACAATGGTGAGCAGTGGAAAGTGTCCCTTACACTGGTTGTCTATAGAAAAGTGTTTCCTTGCACACCGTGAGCAGTGGAAAATGCCCCGTACATTGGTTGTCTATAGAAAAGTGTTCCCTTAGACTGGTGAGCAATGGAAAGTGTCCCTTACGCTGGTTGTCTATAGAAAAGTGTTCCCTTACACTGGTGAGCAATGGAAAGTGTCCCTTACACTGGTTGTCTATAGAAAAGTGTTCCCTTACACTGGTGAGCAGTCAAGAATGCCTCATACCCTGGTTGTCTATAGAAAAGTGTTCCCTTACACTGGTGAGCAGTCAAGAATGCCCCGTACCCTGATTATCTATAGAAAAGTGTTCTCTTACACTGGTGAGCAGTCAAGAATGCCCCGTACCCTGGTTATCTATAGAAAAGTGTTCCCTTACACTGGTGAGCAGTCAAGAATGCCCCATACCCTGGTTGTGTATAGAAAAGTGTTCCCTACTGGTGATCAGTGGAGAGTGCCTGCTTATAAGGCTGGCTGGCTGGTGCTTTGCTTCCTTAAACTCATGGTCATTGGAAACAATACCCCCTTATAGCTAAAAAGATCATTATTCCAACAAAACGTCTGTGCAAACCCCTTAATAGAAGTGCTTCCTTACACTGGTGGTCAGTGGAAAATTGTCCCTAACACTGGTGGTTCATAGAAAAGTGCTCCCTTACTTTGGTGATCAGTGGAAAATGTCCACTTACACTGGTGGTTGGTGCCCTGCTCCTTTAATCTGGTAGTCGGTAGAAAGATCATTATGCTAACATACTGTAATGTCTATGCAAACCCCCTCACAGAAGTTATGCCTTATACTGGTGGTAAGTGGAAAATTTCTCTTAAGCTGGCCGTAGACAGCCATGGTTGAAGGAAAGAATATTGCATAATATATGACCAGCCTAACACTGGCTGTCTATATAAAAGTGCTCCGTTACTTTGGTGATCAGTGAAAACCTCTCCCTTACACTGGTGGTTGGTGCAGTGCTACCTTAAACTGGTGGTCAGTGGAATGAATGCTCCCTTACAACTAAAAAGATTGGCATCAGTGGATGCTTATCTTGGCGGCAGAAATTGCTCAAGAAACCCCTGGCAATCTCTGGTAGAACCCTAGGGTTCCAATGAACCTTGGCTGAGAAAGGCTGGTGTAGAGGCACCGATGGAGCAGAAGTTGGGGGGCTATCAGGAGGAACTGCCAGGGGGCAGCATCTGTTTATACCGAAGACACAGCCTTCCCAGTAAGTGTTCATTTCCGTCTTTGCATTCACTTTTTTACCAGTCTACTGCCCTAGCTATATTCTAATAGTTGCCGGTTCCCCAAATAGTCCTCAATCAACTCATCGTCAAATGTACTCTCACTGAACCATTTTTTTATTAATATGCTTCGAAGATATTGTTTCGGCTACGAATAGAATTGCCAAGTAAAACAGTAAGACAGCGTTCTGCCCATAGTGTGACCCTGGGATCGAGATTAAAGATTTCATAACAATCTTCTTCTTCACAGCGAAGGAAAAAGAAAGTGCAGACAGAAATCTCGTTTTGTGTAACAAGCCAAATTGAGTTACATAATCACATGGCTCCCTGCAGTGAGTCAGGGGAAGCTTTGTGGAGGAGCCAGCAGACTGGTATCATAGGACTTTATAACCTGGCAGGAAGTAACAATTGCCTAATGGTCCTATCGTCTTCCACTCTACCTTTGTGTGAACCCTTAAAATGTTTTCATCTCCTTTCTGAAGATAAGCGCTTGTATCTGTCCAACCATTGCATGTAGTATTTAACAAGGAGAAGAGTTCAGAAAGCCTAGAGCTCTTTAAAGAGGACCTGTGACTTTTATTCATCAATTTAATGCAAGTTGTGACATTTAGTGACATGCTATTGTGTCAAAGACTTCTATTTTTACAGCTGACCCTTATCAGTTGATCTGAGGCTGTGGCCCGCAATCCCGGATGCTTAAAGTCAGGATAGGCCCCGCGGAAGGCAACTTTTTTGGGCTCTATATTTGTTTGAAATTGGTTTAAATGTACATATAAAAAAGGTTCCTGATCTTTTGCAGGATATGGAAAGCTGCTGAACCCCTCTAAACTGGTCACATGGACCAAGGCTCACTGAGCAAGCTGATCTGACCGACAGAAAGGCAGGCAGTAGAAGTACTAGCTTTTCAGCCTTGGCAGTACTCAGCTAAGTACCTGGCTTCCTTCCTTCTGTCCTGTAGATACACTGCTCCCTTGTGTCCTGTAGATACACTGCTCCCTTGTGTCCTGTAGATACACTGCTCCCTTGTGTCCTGTAGATACACTGCTCCCTTGTGTCCTGTAGATACAGTGCTCCCTTGTCTCCTGTAGATACACTGCCTCCTTCTGTTCAGTAGCTATACTGCCCCCTTCTGTCCTCTAGGTACATTGCCTCCTTCTGTCCTCTAGATACACTGCCCCCTTCTGTCCTCTAGATACACTGCCCCCTTCTGTCCTCTAGATACACTGCCCCCCTTCTGTCCTCTAGATACACTGCCCCCTTGCGTCCTCTAGATACACTGCCCCCTTCTGTCCTCTAGATACACTGCCCCCTTGTGTCCTCTAGATACACTGCCCCCTTGTGTCCTCTAGATACACTGCCCCCTTGTGTCCTCTAGATACACTGCCCCCTTGTGTCCTCTAGATACACTATATTGCCAAAAGTATTGGGACACCCCTCCAAATCATTGGATTCAGGTGTTCCAATCACCTCCATGGCCACAGTTGCATAAAATCAAGCACCTAGGCATGCAGACTGCTTCTACAAACATTTGTGAAAGAATGAGTCGCTCTCAGGAGCTCAGTGAGTTCAGGCGTGGTCCTGTGGTAGGTTGCCACCTGTGCAATAAGTCCATCCGTGACATTTCCTTTCTACTAAATATTCCACAGTCAACTGAGGTGGTATTATAACAAAGTGGAAGCAACTGGGAACAACAGCAACTCAGCCACGAAATGACAGAGCAGGGTCAGTGCATGCTGAAGCTCACAGTGCGCAGAACTCACCAACTGTCTGCAGAGTCAATAGCTAAAGACCTCCAAACTTCATATGGCCTTCAGATTAGCACAATAACAGTGTGTAGAGAGCTTCTTGGAATGGGTTTCCATGGCCAAGCAGCTGCATCCAAGTCTTACATCACCAAGTGCAAAGCAAAGCGTCCAATGCAGTGGTGTAAAGCACACTGCCACTGGACTCTAGAGCAGTGGAGATGTGTTTTCTGGAGTGATGAATCAAGCTTCTCTGTCTGGCAATCCAATGGATGTGTCTGGGTTTGGCAGTTGCCAGGAGAACGATACTTGCCTGAGGGGGGATTATGGTGAGGGGGGATTATGGTGTGGGGTTGTTTTTTAGGGGTTGGACTGGCCCCTTAATTCCACTGAAGGGAACTCTTAAGGCGTCAGCAATACCAAAACATTTTGGAGAATTTAATGCAAGAGTTGAAGCTGTTCTAGCTGCAAAGGGTGGGCCAACTCAATATTGAACCCCAAGGACTAACGCAGGGTTGCCATTAAAGTTCATGTGTGTTTAAAGGCAGGTGTCCCAATACTTTTGGCAACATAGTGTACTCTGCCCCCTTCTGTCCTGTAGCTACAGTGCTCCCTTCTGTCCCGTAGAAACACTGCCCCCTTCTGTCCTCTAGATACACTGCCCCCTTCTGTCCTCTAGATACACTGCCCCCTTCTGTCCTCTAGATACACTGCCCCCTTCTGTCCTCTAGATACACTGCCCCCTTCTGTCCTCTAGATACACTGCCCCCTTCTGTCCTCTAGATACACTGCCCCCTTCTGTCTTCTAGATACACTGCCCCCTTCTGTCCTCTAGATACACTGCCCCCTTCTGTCGTCTAGATACGCTACCCCTTCTGCCCTGCAGATCTTCTGCCCCTTCTGTCCTGTAGATACTCTGTCCCCTTCTGTTCTCTAGATAGACTGAGCCCCCCTTACTCTATCCAAAGTGGACAAAAAAATGGTATTAGTTCTACTTTTAGCTGGGGGTTCTTACTGAGGTGGGGTGCTATTATACTTTCAGGCAGCTATGTACAGCACCCTGCCAGCCTACCATACCACCCATGATCTGCCAACAATGAATAGACAAGCACAGAGACCCAGTGATGACATTACTGGTTCCAAAAGAAGGTATGTAATAGAAATGGAAAAGGTTTCTTCAAAACTGCTATTATCATGTTGATGAGGAGAGAATAGAGGAACCAGGGAAGGTAAAATATAAGCAGATTCAATTTCAGCTTTAATTTATTTTCCCTTATTGACTCCAGTGGTGAAATATGGCTGAAATGTTCCGATTTCAGCAACATTTTCGAGAACAACCGACTCCTTGTTTCATTCATTCCTATTTACCTCTAAATTTTACACCTGATGTTAGGAACAAACCTGAAAAATACTAAGTACAACATCTGACTGTGAGCAGTATGTCTCATATTCTATAACTGTAGGTTGTCCCAACCCCTGGACAGGTCACTTTTGTTGAACTGTTTGATGTGCATATAAATGAAAAACATATTAATAAATGATGAAAATACAGTAATTCTTATACAGAATACTATCATTATGCATGTTTATTCTGAGCACACAATACTCATGCTTGCCGAGATTCTTCATATATGGGAGCACACTGCCCCGAAAATCTGTGTCAGTAGGGGTGGCTCAAGAAAGAGAGCCTATGGGGGGATAAATAATTAAAAATGCAATTTTGGAAAGAGTGGGACATTTCTGATCAGCGTCTTGCAGTGGCAATGGACAGTTTTACAGAAACTCTGATCCATTCAAGCAGTTCATGCAGCTTGTCGGCTCTGATATTAACACGGCAGTCATGCCCCAACAAGATTATCTTTAAAAAACAATACAAAAGATAACTCTGCCAATCAAGGCCGGCATTCCATGCAGAGGATGAATCTTTGTGCGATAATCCCTGGCAGCAGCACGCTACCCACAATGCACCTGGCTGACGGGGTCCCTGTTGGTGTGCTGGCACTGACCCCTTCCTGCAGACAGGTCTGAACAATCCCAGGCAGACAAATGGAATTTTTGCACCGCAGTAACCTCAGATATTGTACACAATTCCATTTATAGTTCCTGTTTACAAAATAACGGAGTTATTTTCTAGCGCTGATCCCGGCCAGGTATTTGTGAGATGTATGGGGGTCTCTGCTAGTGACGGTGGGGCTCACGGCAGACTGTCAGTTTGTTGGAGCGCCTGATACAGTATGCTACACAAAGCAAGTATCTCAGTATCTAAAAATTTCAAAATTAGCTGATCCTCGGAACCATTTTTTGTCTGTACCCACCCTCACTTATGATTATTAGAAGTTAGTGGGAGCTGTGAGATGTCTATGTCTGCTCCTGAAGCAACATGACTGAAACATTGGAAGGGAATACTTATAGTTAATTGGAACATGCGAATCACTGTGCTGCTTCTTCTTTCACTGTCCACTCACAGGCTGGAGCAGGTCCATTATGACCTGGGCTCAGAGGAAATGGATTGAATAATGCTGGCCTTCAGATTGAGGACATCTAGTGGTAGAAAAAAGAACTACAGGGAAAAATCTTTGGATAAAAGCTAAATATTGCAACAAAAGCTAGTTTCAAGGGGCTGTTTTTTTCAATCTTGTTATTGTTGGCTGGAATTCTGCTTTAAAGCCCAACTCTGGTCAAATAAAAAATACCCTTTGAGGTGGGGCTGGGCCCACACTGCAATAGTTAATTGCTTGTTTATGCCTACTGGAACAGTAAAAGAGGATATGTGTACTCAATCCTCTGCCCCTCCCCATAGCTAGACTGGTTCCTGCAGATTTAGCACCCCCATACTTTACTGGTCTAGAGTCCTGACATCATCAAGACCAGAGCAGGGTACATAGCCCTGCACTGGACATGAGGGTGCTGAGACACAGTCCACCGCTTGATCATGGGGGAGCCCTGACTGCTTGGGGAGAAGAGGATCAGGTAAGTAAAACTGTTTCTCTGCTTCCCTTGACAAAACAAAAAATTAACCCTTGTAGTGCAGTCACAGCCCTACTGCAGGGATCAGTTTTATCTGCATGGAGTTTGGCTTCATGTGGCCAGTTGAGAGGAGAATAGTGCTTAGTGAAATTCTTTATACAGTGGATATAAAAAAGTGTCAGGTGTCTGTGATGTAAAAAATTAGACAAAGATAAATAATTTCATAACTTTTTCCACCTTTAATGTGACCTATAAATTGTACAACTCAATTGAAAAATAAACTAACATTTTTTTAAGGGGGAGGGAGGGGAGTAAGCATAAAAAGCTAAAATAATGTGGTTGCATAAGTATGCACACCCTCGTATATCTGGGGATGTAGCTGTGTTCAGAATTAAGCAATCACATTCAAAATCATGTTAAATAGGAGTCAGTACACACCTGCCATCATTTAAAGTGCCTCTAATTAACCCCAAATAAAGTTCAGCTGTTCTAGTAGGTCTTTCCTGACATTTTCTTAGTCACATCCTACAGCAAAAGTCATGGTCTGAAGAGAGCTTACAAAGCAGCAGAGGGATCTCACTGGTAAAAGGTATCAGTCAGGAGAAGAGTACAAAAGGATTTCCAAGGCATTAGATATACCATGAAACACAGTGAAGACAGTCATCATCAAGTGGAGAAAATATGGCACAACAGTGACATTACCAAGAACTGGACATTCCTCCAAAATTGATGAAAAGACGAGAAGAAAACTGGTCTGGAAGGCTGCAGGAGGCCTACAGCAACATTAAAGGAGCTGCAGGAATATCTGGCAAGTACTGGCTTTGTAGTACATGTGACAACAATCTCCCGTATTCTTCATATGTCTGGGCTATGGGGTAGAGTGGCAAGATGGAAGCCTTTTCTTACGAAGAAAAACATCCAAGCCCGGCTAAATTTTGCAAACACACATCTGACATCTCCCAAAAGCATGTGAGAAAATGTTATGGTCTGATGAAACCAAGGTTGAACCTTTTGGCCATAATTCCAAAAGATATGTTTATCCATTGCATCCATGGTATTGTAGCATTGTTATAGTGATATCCCTTTAAATACATGCGTCTGTGTCTTTTTTTAACTGGATATTGGCTAGTAAGTCCAAGGCTGACTAATATCACATGACATTGCTGGATCTGCTAAAATGGGTCTCTGTTACCCAGCGGCAGCCCGAGGGGACCTGTGCGCGGCCGGAACCTTAGCATTTATCCTCATGCGCAAAATCCTGATCATTCATTTTGCTAACTATGTATTCGGAGGCCTGGCTGTAATAGGAAGTGACACATGAGCACGGCTCGCTACAGCTGAATAACCATATGATCCTCTGTCTCCAGCGCACTGGACTGTGTACGGCTCTATTCAATCTGCAGGCGGGAGTGGAGACTGCATCCTCATATCTTCTTATGTGATAGAACAGATGGTTCTGGAAGAAACATACTGACTGTACGCTCCTCGATAATTCCAAACTTCTCTCTGAGTTACTATGGGATTCATAGAGGAGATTCTATTCATAGAGAACCAATTACTACTCCAAACTAGAATCCACAACTTCATCTGTCAGTCTGTCTATAATCAGTCTAACTATCCAGCTTTCTATGTATGTATGTATGTATCTATCTGTGTGTACCTATCTTTCTATCTATTATCCATCTATCAATCTATTATCAATCTATTATCCATCTATCATCAATCGATCCCTTTTCCATCTATGTTTCCATCAATCAGTTTATCTATCTATCTATTCTGTCTATTATCTGTCTATCTATTATCCATCAATCAATCAATCAATCAATCAATCAATCAATCAATCTATCCATTTTTTTATCTATGTCTGCATCAATCAATCAATCAATCTAGTATCTATATATCTACTGTAAAATATATATGGAGATAATCCGCACTAGTTCATACATCTGATGTAATTTAGCAGCTTGCACAAAATCCTAATACAGGGATTTATCAAGAATATTTGTCCAACAGTGCAACGCGTGAATATAAAACTGGTGCAAACTCAGTTATTACCTATATTAACTGAGCAGTTGTATAAAACCCAAAATCAGTGAATGTATCCACCCAAAATATTAACTGACTTAAACAACATTAGAATTAATACCTCATCAAGATAAATGGATCATACATGTGAGAATGGGCAAGTGAAGAAAATAAAACAATGTGTAAAAAAAAATTTCAAATAAATTGAAAACAAAAAA